CAACTCTTTAAATCCAGACGTTACCTTTCCTCACAAATGTTTTTTTATAATATAGCATGGGGCACGTGCGAAGTATGCATATATACACACAGATATGAAATTTCCGACATTGTTGGCATCGACTCATTGTTGACTCATCACGAATAAATGCCTGTCTTTTTCATGTTTCTAAAAACCTTTGCCACGTGGGTTTCGAAAGGACTCAACTTGTTGCGTTTACCATCCCACATAAAGTAGTATATTCACCATGGTCCCACATAAAGTACTACACAACAGAAATATATGAATATCTAAACGTTAAAATTTAGGCGCCTTTTAACTCTTGGAGAAATGCCGTTTTTTGAAATATCACTTTTTAAAAATACCATTTTTTAAAAAATTATTTTTTGTTATATTATTTACGTTTAGATTAATTATATTGTATTAAGATTTAGTTTTAAGAGTTTAAAAAATTTTAGGAGTCAAAACATTTTTTAGACTTTAAAATTTTAAGATTTAGGCTTTAAAATTTTATAATTAGTGGTATTTTTGCAAATAAACATCCTAAGTAGCATTCTTGCAAATGTACACACCAAAAGTGGCACTTTTGCAATTGCCCCAAAAATAAATCATATAAACTTGTAGAATTGACATGTAAGTGTGTATAAAATTATGCTTGAACCACCTATTTGCTGAAGAACAATTCTTCACCCTCTTTTAATCAACCAATCAAAATTTGTCATATAATCTAATTAAATAATTAGTATTATATAAATAAAACAATTAGATTAAATCATTAGTGGCACTTTTGACAATTGCATAAATGCTACTTTTGGTATGTACATTTGCAAAATACCATTAAGGGTTGTCTATTTGTAAAAATGTCACTAATTATGAATTTTTCGAACCTAAATCTTAAAATTCTAAATCCTAAAAAATATTTAGACCCCTAAAAACTCTTAAACCCACAAAACTAATCTTTTATACAACATAATTAATCCAAACATAAATTCTATAATGAGTAACTAATTTTAAAAAAGTTG